CTTAATTACAGTAATAAAGTAAAAGTACTTTGTTACTGTCCACCACTGCTTTCTGGACATTATGGTCAAGGCTTATGGTATTTCAGCAACTTGTACTTTTTAAAAGTATTTATCTTTCTCTGCCACATTTCTTTCATTGAAAACGAATGGAGCATCTTCAACATATTTAAAACCCTTTAAAATSCTTATGGTTAGTGTTTTTTGGTGCTAAATTTGGCTTCTTTTTGTTAATTTTAGCTATGTTCTGCTATTTCGGCTATCTTTCTGCTCCTTTCCGCTATTCTTCTGCAATGTTTTTAGCCTGGTAAAAACAAGAACCTTGTCCTTCACTTTGCTTCGTACAGAGGGTCTGGACTCGCTGCTATTGAGAAGCGATTTCTTGCTGGAGGCGTGGCCTCTGCTGAAGTGTGTGTGTCGCTGAGAAGGAGGCTAAGCTAAGAAGCTAACTGGAAATCGCGAGCGCTGTAAACAACCCTACTGAGAGGAGAAAAGTACCGAGCCGAACGAGACAACTGTAAATGAGAGCTGCAGCTTTGTCAGACAAATTTAATTTAATTTAATTTAGAAGCCTTATCAACACGGACTGGCTTCATTCACTTCCTCCACTGCCGTATGCTAAACTAACTAGCAGACACTTTGCAGAAAATCGACGTTCTGTTCTCTGATTGGTTCAGCTAAAAATCTGCCAGCGAAATCCTTGTCTATGGGAGAAATGCCAGACGGAGCAGTGAAGGGAAACTAGAATTGTGCAGAACTGCATAGGAAGTCAAGGGCCAGGCTACAAATTTTTACTTTTGTCCTTCTTTCGGCTACTCTCCTTCAGCCTTTTTCTGTTACTAAGCTACTTTTTTGATATGTACTGTTTTCTGCTAATTTTATCTAAATWTATGCTGTTCTCAGTTTTTTGACATATTTTTGCTGTTTTTCTACTGATATTTTACTTKTGGTTTTCAACTTACAACTGAAGTCAGCTAGTCAAATTTAACTCACGTCATCAGTTTTAAAACTTTTCAGCTGATTTCAGCAAAAACCTTTCAGCGTTAAACATTTGCACACTTCTTGCAGGTAAATGCATATTCTCCATTAATAATTAATTAACCACAAGTTTCGATCCAAATTTCCAAAACTGTATTTTAACCTGGGTTAAACTGTTCTATATTGATATCAATTAAAATGCAAATCATAATAAACATGTTATATTC